AATAGCAATGGCCTCCAACCTAATAGCAATGGCCTCCAACCTAATAGCAATGGCCTCCAACCTAATAGCAAAGCCGCTTCTGGCCCAGAAGGCACCCTAGCGTGCACTCTTTTGACGCCATGTGTTGACGTCGATTCAACAAGACTGGCCAGAGCTGGGTCCCAAATCCCAGCTTGTCATGCTTGGGCACCTGTGTTTTTGGCACTTGGCTTTCCTGTGGTGCCTTGGCAGACAAAGCGGCGAGGGTTGCTTCTCTGCCATGGGGGAAGCGGGAATAGATCCCTCTTGGACTCGTCTGTTCATGGAGGGTTCTATGAAAGAACATGGCTCTACTCCACTAGTGGGCTACGGCCCTAGCAAGCATGATCTGAGGATGGCCAAACCATGTGTTGTCAAACGTAGCTACAAAAGGGCTCTTCGCAGAATTGCCACTCACGGCTACTGTTGGTATAGGGGCCAATGCCTTAACAAAGCGGATGTGCCACCTGCCAGCCTCAATCAGGTGATCTCCCCCACTCAGACCAAGCGGGTCGGCAGAATGGGCCCACGTTGGACCGGACCCTTGCCTCCCAACCGTGCTCACGTCCCCATGCACAGGATTGTTGCTCTAGTTTGGAACCCAGGCGGACTGTCCAGGAGCAAGCTTCAGGAGTTTTTGATCTGGGCTGAATGTCAATCAGCTGGACTTTTCATCCTCCCTGAAACCAGATGGACCTTCGACTCCACCTGGGAGGATGCCAAATGGCTATTTATCCATAGTGGATCTGACAATGGCCGCAGTTCTGGCATTCTGATCATCATTTCGAAGAAGCTTTGCACCGGGAACTTGCTGAGTCATCGTAATATCATACCAGGACGGTTGGTACATCTTCGCATGCACTTGGCCCCCAGGTACCTGGATGTCCTGGCCTGTTATCAGCACACTGGGCACACTGGAGCTGACCTGGATGCACGAGCTTCCTTTTGGGCGACATTGGATGGGACTCTGCACTCCCTGGCCCAACGCCATGGTTTGGTTGTGGCAGGTGACTTCAACTGCTGCCTCACTGCAGGCTATCCTATCACTGGCACCAATGTCTTCACCCATGGAGGACGCCGTGTCCTGGGCACGCAGCACAAGGATCGTGCCATGTTCAATCAGATTGCACTGACGCATGGATTGGTTGCTTTGAACTGCTGGGATGCCTCCCTGGGTCCAACCTCCTCCAACCCGATTGGAGCAGTCTCCAGGATTGACTTCGTGTTCCTCCGACAGAAGTTCGTGGACACTGCCTCCCGTCGTGCGATTCTTCTTCCTGAGGCGCCTTTTGCACATGACCAAGGTGCACATCATACACCTCTTCTGTGCAATCTCGCCTTGCCAAGCGCTCCAACGGGACCGACCAGGGAGCCGATGCTTCAGCTCAAACACCGGCAGCATGGACGTGAATCACGGTTGACAGGAGCATCTCACTGGCAGTGCTTTACTGAAGATCTCCAACAGGTAGTTGACAATGTGCTGACCTCCCAATCCGGAGCTACTGCAGGCCACACTGCTGGAACTGAGACTTTGGCATATTCAGCAACCACGTTTTCTACTGCTTCGGGGGTGAGTCCTGGTAGCTTTGAAGCGCAACTTGAATCATGTCATGCTCAAGCATTGCAATGTTTTTGCCAGCATTTTGTCAGACCACCAAACATGACACTTCGTGAAAGCAATCCCACTCTTGACACCTCCCTTTCTTCCCTACAGGTAGTTCGATCAAAGTGGACTCATTTTCACGCTTTTCGTAAACCTGCTCTCATAACGGCCATGAATGTCTTTAAAGCCTGGTGGCACATGACACAGTTCACCTTGAGGCAAAAGCAGCATGCAAAGATCGTTCATTCGACCAAGCTGAAACGAGTGGCTGAAGTCATTGAGACTGCGGCCAAGGCCGCCACACATCATGACTCATACACATTGTTCGCATGTATTCGTGCTCTCATGCCGAAGGTCGATAGAAAAATCAAACTCCGCAACACTCATGGTCAACTTATGAGCACGGTGGAGGAAGTTGCTTGTTTTCGCGCACACATCCGCACAACCTGGCAGGGACCAGATCGATGTCCTTCTTTTGGATGGTTGACCACCATGCCTTTTGACAAGGTTGATTTGATTAGTGCCCTTGCCAAGACCCCTGAAGTCAAAGCTGTCGCCCCGGGCCGTGCTCCAGGTACTGTGTGGAGGATTCAGGCTGAGCGCATAGGTGGCTGGTTGTTTGACATGCTGTGCCAGCTGTGGATTGGACGTCCACCTGTCATCCCTCAAAGCTGGAAAGATGGATGGCTTTGTTACATCCCCAAGCCTGGCAAAGCACCTAGTCACCCTTCGATGTTGCGTCCCCTTGCCCTCACTGACCCTCTTGGTAAAGTGGTTATGCAACTGGTGGCCCTTCGTGTACGAACCCAGGCTTGGTCCCACCTTGTTCAATGGCCGCAATATGCCTATCTCCCCTTCCGATCCACATTCGACCCGATCTCACGTGTGGCACAGCACTGTCGTGATGCTAGAAATCTTCGAGGGCTGCAGCAACTCACCCAGCACGACAGGGCCAATGGGCTTCGTAGTCCTGTCATTTGCGGAGCTCTCCAAGTTTTTCTCGATGTAGACAAAGCTTTTGATTGTGCACCGAGAGATCAGCTCATTCACGGCCTGCTCGATTGTGGTGTTGATGAAGGACTCGCCACCCTGCTTGGGGAATGGCACTCACACACTAGATATCACTATACACACCTTGGTGTCAACATTTGTGAGCAGAGTGGCAGAGGGGTTCGGCAAGGATGTACGGGGGCACCCATGCTATGGGCGGTGCTCATTGCTCGTTTCCTGCAACGCTTGTCCCAAACAGTCCCCCAACAGTGGATTCAGAAATGCCTCAACATTTTCGCTGACGATCTTCAGGGGGGGACACGTTTGATGATGAGCTCAAACTTCGACAATGTTTGAGGTATTTAGGTCAGGTCATTGACTGTCTTGAAGAGCTTGGTTTGACTGTTAACCCAGTTAAAACAGTGGCCATGCTTCAACTTGGTGGAACACAACGGCGTAAATGGCAAGCTCTCCTCACTCGGCGTGGGGCCAATGGAGCCTACTTGATCCTGCCCAGGAAAAATGGTTCTATGCAGTTGAAACTTGTCCCTTCTACGGTTTATTTAGGTGTTCGAATCTCGTACTCGGCCTTTGAAACCTATACTCAAACCATGAGAGCAAATGCTGCACAAAAATCGGTCATGTCACTGAGTCGATGGCTTTATAGCAAACGCCGCCTGCCTTTTACGCACAGGCTGCGGCTCTGGCAAACATGCATTGTTCCATGTGCTGAGTATGGTTTGTTGGCTGTTGGTATCACGCATCGTGTTCTCACCAAACATGTTACTTGCCTCATGAAACAGCTTCGTATCATCACGGGGAATCAGTCACATGTCACGCATGATAGTCACTTGACTGTTCTTCACGCCTTTGGCCTTGAGCATCCCATAGAGTCTCTTCGACGTGCAACGCAGGCCAAGCTTCAGCAACATGAGTACCATCTTGGTTTCTTGCATCCACATGACATTGTTGTTGCACACTCACGGTATTCCCTGTCTGCGTCCTTGCAAATGATTGAACAGTTCCGGGAGGCTCTCTACGTGTGCTCACCTGAGGAACCGCCCGTCATTCGCCGCCCCTTAGGCCTGGACTGTCATGTTTGCGGTGCTTCGTTCCACACGGTCACCGACCTTCATAGACACTTCACACGGTCACATCATCTGATCTGTCCACCTCAAAGGGTTGATTATGAGCTGCACGCCATCGCAGGCTTGCCTCAGTGTGTCTTTTGTATGCAGACTTTCGCCACCTGGGGCACCTTTCGCCAGCACATCACTCAGAAGCGCTGTCGAATTCGCCCGTTTGAGACTGAACCACACGGTGATGTAAGCACCTCAACTTGTATCCCTATGGGACTGTGGCGGGACTTGATCCGGTTTGATAAGTATGATAGTACTGCCCACTCCGTGAGAGCACCACACACCATCACAGATTACTTCAACCGACTGCCCCGTGCCCAGGTTATGAATCTCTCTGCCCTTCGAACCAGGGCGGCAGAGTTCGCTCGAGGCAATCAGTGGAATGCTCTGCAGCAGGATCGGGAACTGTGTGAATACCTTTCACATCACTGTCTCAAGTGTGGACGCTGGTGCACGAGGAGCAGAGAGCTTGTAGTGCATTTGAGAGAAGCTCATCCACAGGTCATCATCCCTGGCATTGAGCAAATGGTTGCACTTCAGCGGACACATGTGAGAGCCTCACCGTGCCCCTTTTGTTCTCTCTCCTGGAAGCAGCAGCATGGGTGTCCGATTCTCCTACAAACTGCTATTTTGCAGGCTGAAATGAGCGCTACTTCGCTGGCCACAGACACCTCATCGACGCGCGCCCAGGCCCCAACTGAGACAGTTCAGAAGACCTCGATCACCTGGCCCTGTCACCTATGCTCCATGACCTTTCCTACAAGAGTTCTGTTGTCTGACCACCTCCGGGAACATCAACAGCAGCTTCACCGCTATGATCCTAAACGTGACTCTGTTGAAGGTGAACCTGCATGCTCTCATTGCGGGCTGTTGGTTACCTCCATGGACGCACTTCGATATCACATCACGAAGGGACATTGCAAACACTTTGACCCTCGCAAACCAGTCCCAGACGTTCCGATCAGCCCTGACCTCAAGGCGGCCTTGCTGAGTGGACGCCTTGGACCATATCTACGTGAAGCAGGTGCCAGGACCTTTTTGACTGTGCAGTGCCTGTGTTGTGGCCGGACCTTTCCGGGGGCTCGTGAACTCTCACGGCACCTTCAAGAGAGGCACTCTATTCTGTGGAATGACGCCCTACATCTTGGCCTCAGCCTCAAGCATGTTGTCAGTCCACTCACCGGCTGTATTTGCAATCCAGCAGTGGCCTCTATGACATCCAAGCATGAGTGTGTGGGCCTCCGGCAACTTGCCATGACTCACCTCAGATTGCATGATGACCTACTGGTCCCATGGGTGTTTGATCACGAGCTCTTGCAACAACTTCTTCGCCCAGGTGTTTTGCCTCTGGAGCTGGTCAACACCGTGCACTCCTGGCTGATTGATCGCAAGTTTCAGAAGCTGTGGCAGTGCACTGAACTGATACAGATCTTGAGCTCCTGTTGCTTCATGTGTGACTTTCGGGGGCATGGCGCAGACTTACAGATCCATCTCTTGGTCGAGCATCATTGTCAGGAACGAGGGTTGATGATGTTTGTTCAACAAATCCTTCGTTTGCTTCCTATTTCCACTGAAGCATCACCTGGTTGCTGGCTCTGTGGTATGGCTCGAGAGGACCTCAGGGCTCACTTGATTGCTTGTCCGACTCTGATTCAGATCTCCTCGTTGATCGCCTTGCCTATCCATGAGCGATTTTGGCTTGGAGTCCATGGAGGACGCTTTCACGGAGCAATCATTGGCGGCGCTCCACGGTTGGGGCCAATTGGAAGCCACGGCAAAAGATCAGGAGCACTCCAAGAGGGCCAGACTCGGACCAAGCAAGCGAGATCGACAGACAGCGGATCGAGAGCCTCCGCTGCGCGATCTCATTCGAGCAATGGGTCAATTGATGCTACGCCGCGATCAGGATCTGCAGACGAGTGCAATGCAGGATACATCATTCTCTACTTGGTTCCAAGCCAAGAGGGCAGCCTCCCACTCCTGCAAACGGCCCACCGACAGTGGACAGACCTCAAGGAGAAGTCCACCACGCTTCGAACGCACCTGATGCTGGCACTCTTGAGGGAGCTACAACGCAGACTCCTGAAGGTGATGGCCTGCTCCGATCAGGACTCTCTCAAAGTCACCATGGTGAAGAATGGAATCCTGCTGGAGGATCTGACCTGGCCGTACACACAATGGGATCAGACGTCCAAAAAGCTCCTCCTCTCCAAGACGAAGAAGCCAATGACGATGACCGCAGCCCAGGAACTCCTGGAAGAGCTGCTCACACTTGTCAAGGAGGAGGGGGCGATCCAGCGGTTTCATTCACTGAGCCGGCAGGAATCTGCAAAGAGCCAACCATGGAAGCTGCAGGTAGGGCAACGCAACGACCGACTCCATCAATTGCTCACACAGAGCTGCCATCTCAGCCTGTGGCAAATTGCAGGCATTCAGATGAAGCCTCATACACTGAAGGCCTCGCCCTTGGCAGTGAAGGTCAAGGACATGCTCCAACATCTTTGATGGAAGAGGATCGAGTGCACTTGGCCAAAGCGGTGGCCTCATGGGAGCTGCAGAACCCTGCCAACCATTGCTATATCAACGCGTCCTTGCAGGCTTTGGGTTGGGCAACTCTGCACAGACAACATTTCTCTTTTGATGATTGGGGTGTGCTCCAAGCTGGTCTACAGAGCATGTTGAGCCTTGGTTCTTCTCCGTTTCTGGTCCTAGATGGAGGCATTCAGCGCTCACTTGGCTGCTTGGGATGGGGCACGACAGCACGATGCTGTCGAATTTACATTGTTTCTCATGTCCAAGATGGATATGGCCACAATACACTGCCTTTGGGAGAGAAGGTATGCCAGGGAGACTGGGGTTGTAAAAAGGCATGCGTCAGCAGGTGGCAACATCATGTTACATCTTCATGTGATGCCGGACACGGTTCAATTCCTGCATCAGTTGATTGAGAATTGGCACACTGAATCTGGCATGATCACAGCATATTCTCACCTTCCGTCCCTTGTATGCATCCACCTGGACCGACTCCGTCCATTGGCAGGCAATGTGCACGGTCAGAAGCTCATGTCGAGGGTGAACCTAGACACAGTGATTCGACTCCCCCGATTCACAGGTGATGACACGCAGATTGAATTTCAAGAGTACATCCCCATTGCAGCACTTGCACACATGGGATGTCCAGGGGCAGGTCATTTTCGAGCGGCATTGAAATGCTTTGATGTCACCGCTGCTACCAAGTGGCTGCTGTGTGACGACGACACACATGCGATTTCCACACCTAGCCTCCCAGGATGGTTCGAGACGCAGGTGACAATGGTATGGACCCTTCGCAAGAAGGAACTGTGCAGCTTGCAGGTCGATTTTGAGACACCCATCCCCGCGCCAGATCTGTCCACCTTTCTGGCGCTCTTTCATGACTAGGTACTGGCTGTTCAAGAACAGCACTTGCTTGATCCTCGGATCATGAGAGTCTTCCTTGATGGAAGCCGTGATTGACAGATCACGATGGATATGCGCAAAGACGCCCTGAAGCTCTTGGCGTGCGAAAGCCCGAAAAAAGGCCAACCTAATAGCAATGGCCTCCAACCTAATAGCCATGGCCTCCAACCTAATAGCAATGGCCTCCAACCTAATAGCAATGGCCTCCAACGCAATAGCCATGGCCTCCAACCTAATAGCAATGGCCTCCAACCTAATAGCAATGGCCTCCAACCCAATGGCAATGGCCTCCAACCTAATAGCAATGGCCTCCAACCTAATAG